TCAAATTTTGGTTTCACATACATAACGTTGTCACCTACCTTTTTTTTTGACAATACTTTGACATTTTCTTCATGACTTCGTAACGAGTTTTCAAATTCCGTAAATATCATTTGTCTTTCCCTTTGAACTGTTACGGTAGCAAAGATGTCGTACGTCCTTGGCAGACCCTTTAAAACCATTGTAATGAGTAGTGCATCACTTATTATCTCCTCGGCTTCTCTTAAGGCTGTTGCCGATCGTTCCGCTCGCAATATATAATCTGTGACAGTCTCGTCGTCACTTTTCTTCAGCCAAGTGAGTTCCTTGTAAAGAGCGATGATGCGAGGTTTTCCCCTGCCTTAATAGTGACGTCTGAAGATTTCTAAAGCTCTCCGTCCATTGTTTTTCGCCCCCCGAATCACAAGAGACAAATTTCTAGCGTCCAGACATTTGACCAACTCTGCAAAAGCGTCAGCCAGTTTTGAAGCTGCTGGTTCTTCTCTCTCATTTGCTGATTCGATAAATACGTCGTACAGTTTTTGAAGACGCATATAGCCCAAGAATTTTACTTCCCATAACTCGTATTTGCTTTCGATTCCATCGAAAAGCAAACCTCTCCTGGGCCCATAACCTGTTGAGTTCGAGCAAACGAGCCCATGGAGTTAAGCTCAAATGCCCGACGGTCACTCAAACTTCTAGGGGGCTTTTGCCTCCTCTCTAATAAGCCTATGCCACACCCAATATATTTGTAAAAAACAGACACGTTTTTAAATGTTCGTCTAGACACAAATTCAATCTGCATTCTACACAACTAGAATGAATTTTTTGTTTTTCTTTCATAAAACATGACTTCCAAGACATGTCCTATATTTAACATGATTTTTTTATTGAAAAGGAAAAATACCTGAAAAATTTCTCATGGTTGCCTTTACAATTAATTCTAGAAGGCAATCAGATCTTTTATGAGAAATAGGAATCTTTTTAAATGCCAAGGCTAAATTACAGAACACTCTGCCTCATATAGATTTCCATTGTACAGCTGACTAAGTAGTCATTGTATTCAAGTAGACTGCCTTCCACAAACTTTGTGTGTCAGTTAGACAAATTGTTAAACACCTTACTAAGTGATAATATAACTCAGTACCTCTATTTTCATTCCAACATGCAGTAGCGTCCCTAAAGAGAGCCTGGGAAGGGGGAACGTGCCCCCTAAATATTGGCTGTGCCCCCCAAGTGCTTCCCATTTGAATTTTTTATAAGAGTCTTCATATGCATCATTCTAAATTGAAAAAGAAACACATGGGATCAATGTAGCTCTTACGGAATTCGCACAACTTTACTGTAAAAAGAAGCATTCTATTCGCTGTGCAAACTATTTTGCGTTGCATTTACCCTTTCTGGGTTGTTAGCCGAATGGTGAAGATTTTAATTCCTTAAAAATGAAAAAAAAACAAAGTAATAATTCTGGAATAAAACAAGTCTCTAGTAGGCAAGGAAGAACAAGTAATATTGGGATGCTTATCATGAACCACATTACACCATATCATAGAACTTGTATGAGAACGTGGACAAGTACACTCGTAGACTCAAACTTGTACACACAAAAATACAAATATAGCAATGACTAAGAGTAAGGCTCATGAAAATACTGCAATTCTAGAAGTATTATATTATGAAAACATTTCATTAAAATCAATAATCAATCTACGTAACGTTATAACACGAAGGATGTACAAATCCGCCATGGTTTAACTAGGAAGTTAAAAAATTGAAACTATTCATGTTGTGATAAATATTTCTAAAATTTCTAGTGCAGAAGCAATTATTAGGGCCATTTCGCTAGCGACGGACGTGGTACAAATTTCGTCCCCCTCCCATTTGCAAAATCGTTGCGACGTCACTACCAAAATGTAGCCAAATGCCTAAATGCAGGAAAACTAAAATGTCCAATTGCGTTGTTTTCAGCTGCCATCCTCGATATTCATTTACACGTACAAGTAAAACTGTAACATTAGGTAGCTATGTTTGATCTTCAACAATTTTAGTTGTCTATAAACTCTAACGAAAGAACCAATTTATATTGACATTTTTAACTTGATGATCACTAGATGCAGTAAAGAGAAAAAATTAATAAATTCTACCTGCAAGAAGTACTTACAGATGTTACAAAGAAACTTGTTGATCTTTTTATCCAAGAATGGGACACTCATTACAAAGATTCTCTCGGACAATGGGAAAATACAAACGTTAGTGGTCAGAAGTTGTTCAAAATTGAAACTTCAATAGGGAGACCTCCTGAAAAACATATTCTCTCAAATTTTCAAAATGGTGACACTAGTAAGTGGGATTGTACGACACTATTTGCAGCGATATTGTATTCCAAATCAATTGGAGCAAAAAGTGATCCAAAAGTTAGAGAAGCTGTGAATGAAATTCGTAAAATAAGAAACAAAATCGCTCATAATGAAGATGGAAAATTATCTGATGCTGATTGTCACAAAATGGTTTGTGATGTTGAAAAGTCGTTTAAAGATCTAGGATTTTCATTCACTGAAATTGTCAAAATAAAAAGTGAACGAAACAAATTTAATTCTTTTCAAGTACTTCCTGGCAAAGCAAATCACGATGTCGTTGAACGTAAAGAATTACTTAATCAAATCACAGCAGATCTCATAACTTGCGCAGTACTAACAATAATGAATTAACATATTACTATATTTCTGGTAATCCTGGCAGTGGTAAATCTCAATTAGCTAGACAAATTTGCGAAGAAATGTATAACTCGTTTGACTGGGAAAAGAATACGACATTTGTGATGACACTCGAAGGAAAAGACATCGACTCTCTTTTGAAAACTTATGCTGAACTTTATCAACTATTAAACAATGATAAAACTGTCATTGAAAATATTTTAAAAGAATCAAAAAGCAGCGAAGAAAAAATTAAAGATTTTCAATTTTTGCTGACACAGCAACTGAAATCTTGGCAAACATGGTGGATTGTTGTAGATAACGTGGTTGAACTTTATAAAATTTATCCATTATTACCTCAAGTTGGTGATCATAATTGGAAAAATGGACAAATTATAGTAACTGTCCAAAATACAGATGCTATACCACCAGATGTAAATTTAAATAAACACATTTCAGTTAGTCATGGTATGAACAATGCAGAATGTCGACAAATTCTATCTGTCTTTTCTGATATTCATAATAAAGATGAAAAATTTTTAAAAGATTTATCAGAAAAATTAGATCGTCAAACGTTGTTCCTGGCAAATGCTGCTTCCTACGTAGGTAGTGTAAAAAGTGTAAATCCGAAATTCACGTGGGAGCAATATTTTGATAAGTTGAATGAAGGAGAGAGACAGAACATGGATGCCAATTTTCAAAAGATAAACACATCTTACTTAGGAATGAAAACTGTTATGTTAGCAGTACAAAAAAATGCTAAAGAATCCATCTTGTTGGAACATGTTTTTAAACTTTTCTCAATAATATCTTTCGATCCCTTACCACAAGATATTATAATATCATTTATTAAAAGCATTGATCCACAAATATCTGCAGAAGATGTCTGTCTTCAATTAAAGCATTGTTCTTTATTCCTTCAAACGGAAAACAACGACATCCGCCTGCACAGCTTTGTACATGAAGCCATCATGAATTATTCATCGCAGACCTTTGGTTGTAAACAAAACGAAAATAATTCTAAAAAGTCTGCAGCTGATCTTGCCTGTCAAGTTGCTTGGGCACTAAATAATTTTGAAGACAGAGAAGATGAAATCAAAATAATTCCACATCTAATTAAATTCATAACAAATTCACCATTTCAACATTTCCTAAATAAGTTGATCGATGTAAAATCATCAAAACAAAAACTTGATGAAAGAAATTGGAAACTTGCCAAATATTTTGTAGATGTTTTGGAAAGATGTTTCAACTATAAACTTGCAACTAAAGTATTTTATGAAATAACAGAAATTCAAACTAAAGTGTTAGGTGCTGATCATATTGATGTTTCATATTCGTACAACGACCTGGGTGTATTGCTTTGGAAGAATGGAGATTATGAAAATGCTAAAGATTTTCTCGAGGGAGCAATAGGAATTCAAGCAAAAATATTTGGACCTGACCATGTTAATATTGCAACAACATACAACAATCTAGGTTTGGTTTACGATAAATTGCGAGAGTACGAAAAAGCAAAAGATTTTTTTGAACGAGCGATGGAAATTCAAATAAAAGCATTTGGACCTGACAATGTTAATATTGCGATAATGTACAACAATCTGGGTTCGGTTTACGATGTTATGGGAGAGTACGAAAAAGCAAAAGCTTTTTACTAACGAGCGATACAAATTCAAACAAAAGCATTTGGACCTGACCATGTTAATGTTGCGACAATGTACAGCAATCTGGGTTCGGTTTACAAAAATATGGGAGATTACGAACAAGCAAAAGATTTTCATGAACGAGTGATAGAAATTCAAACAAAAGCATTTGGACCTGACCATGTTAATATTGCGTCAACTTACAGCAATCTGGGTTCGGTTTACATTAAAATGGGAGAGTACGAAAAAGCAAAAGATTTTCATGAACGAGTGATAGAAATTCAAACGAAAGCATTTGGACCTGACCATGTTAATATCGCGTCAACGTACAGCAATCTGGGTTCGGTTTACATTAAAATGGGAGAGTACGAAAAAGCAAAAGATTTTTATGAACGAGCAATAGAAATTAAAACGAAAACATTTCGACCTGACCATGTTAATATTGCAATAGAGTACAGCAATCTGGGTTCGGTTTACATTAAAATGGGAGAGTACGAGAAAGCAAAAGATTTTTATGAACTAGGGATGAAAATTCAAACAAAAACATTTGGGCCTGACCATGTTAATACTGCGAAAATGTACAACGATCTGGGTTCGGTTTACAGAGATATGGGAGAGTACAAAAAAGCGAAAGAGTCTTATGAACGAGCGATGAAAATTCAAACAAAAACATTTGGACATGACCATGTTAATATTGCGACAACGTACAGCGATTTGGGTTCGGTTTACGATGATATGGGAGAATACGAAAAAGCAAAAGAGTTTTATGAACGAGCGATGAAAATTAAAGCAAAAGCATTTGGAACTGACCATGTTAATATTGCGTCAACGTACAACAATCTGGGTTTGGTTTTCATTAATATGGGAGAGTACGAAAAAGCAAAAGATTTTTATGAACGAGCAACAGAAATTGAAACGAAAACATATGGACCTGAACATGTTAATATTGCGACAGCGTACGACAATCTGGGTTCAGTTTACATACATATGAGAGAGAACGAAAAAGGAATAGAGTTTTTTGAACGAGCGATAGAAATTCAAACAAAAGCATTTGGACCTGACCATGTTAATATTGCGAGAGCGTACAACAATCTGGGTTTGGTTTATAGTGAAATGGGAGAATACGAAAAAGCAATGGATTTTTATGAACGAGCGATAGAAATTGTAACGAAAACAGTTGGACTTGACCATGTTAATATTGCGTCAACGTACAACAATCTTGGTTTGGTTTACAAAAATATGGGAGAGTACGAAAAAGCAAAAGATTTTTATGAGCGAGCGATGAAAATTTAAACAAAAGCCTTTGGACCTGACCATGTTAATATTGCAACAACGTACAGCAGTCTGGGTTTGGTTTACAGTAAAATGAGAAAGTACAAAAAAGCAAAAGATTTTTATGAACGAGCGATGAAATTCAAACAAAAGCATTTGGACCTGACCATGTTAATGTTGCGACAACGTACAGCAGTCTGGGTTTGGTTTACAGTAAAATGAGAAAGTACAAAAAAGCCAAAGATTTTTATGAACGAGCGAAAGAAATTAAGACGAAAGCATTTGGACCTGAACATGCACTGCAATAATAGACAACAATCTTTATTTTCTTATAAACAAACTATAGCTATTGAAACTGAAGCATTTTGACTTCTGTTTATCTTTTATTTGCTAGAAAACGTAGAAGGAGATAGAAGAAGAGGAAATGAATTTGTAGCTCATTTTCAATGAAGAAGAAAATAAATTTCTCTTTTCATTTTAGTTATGTCTTCTTTATACTAAAGATGATTAGAAACAGTTGTATTGTAGATTTCTTTTAACAAAGTTCAAATAACAACAGTTGTATATTTATAAAATGTATAAATATATTATTGACAATATTCAAACATTTGTACTTTCAAGTTTTTAAATGTCATTTATTTACTGGAACAGTTTTTATTAAGAAACTTGTATGGAACTATCAAAGTGTATTTATGAGTTTGCAATATCTAGCTATTCAGAAGTTGTGAAGTTCCTTAAAATGAATGTTGTTTGGTCATTTTCTTGTATAATGAGAGTAATTACTGATCTTACAGCAACCATGATCATGTAACATCCCTTTTTGAAATGCTGAAAATCCCACAAGATTTGCTTTGCTATATAAGTATGAATACAGCCTTTTCTATATTTATTTCTATTTATTCATATAATTTACAAAATATGTTTTCTATTTGTGAGAATTGTAGTTGTTTGAAATAGACATGCAGTTATTGCTAATTGATTTAATTATACTTTACTTGGGGCAGTGGCGGATACAGGCCAATCGTTTACCTCCCTCAAAGTAGCATTACTATGAGTGCTCGTTTTAGCGCCGCAGCGCTGTAACTTTGTTTGATCGTAAGAGCAGCGCGGTAACAGGGGGCGGCGCTTAAAAGAAGCAGTGGCAAAACAAGGATTTCGGATTAAAGAAGCACTTAATACAATCAATAATTCTGACTGTTTCGCTCAATATCAGAGCTCATCAGCATGCCTAGGCATGCTTCTAAAAAGCAGCCAGACATGGACAGTCAACTTGACTGCCATTTAGTTAAATGGTTGCGAAACTTTGCCTTAATGATGCTATTATTTTAAGTTTCTTGTTTTCATGTTTGATGTTTGATTGTTGTTAATAATGACTATACGAACTTTAATCTTGTGTTATCCATAGCAAATCTGTCGATAACTTCTGACGTTTCGGGCACAATTTCTTGATGAACTCTCATCATGGCCAAACCGTTTAGACGCTCTGAAACCATCGTACTTCGCTTATAATTTTTCAGTTCGCGCAAAACTGAGAAAGAGCGTTCGCATTCGCAAGATGTGATAGTAAGGGTTCCAAGAATACGAAGAATAATTTTGATGTTTTCAAAGCCTTCAAATTTTAAAGCTTTTAAAGTTGCTGAAATTGAGTCTGGAATGGTTCCTTCGTAATCAACCCAATAAGTTTCCCAAAGCAAAATCTCTGAGTCCAAAGCCAATGGATTGGGTAGGTCATCGTGATAAAATTGGAAACAACTTTGAATTTTTCTTTCCAATTCATGCCATTGTTAAGAAGAGAAATCATTTTATATGGTACAATGCTAAGCCCATTGTACACATTAACGCTATCAGTATTGAAACGAGCTTTCAACGCAGAGTTTAGGTGGTCAACAAGTGGAATAGAAAAATTCTTTTATAGTACTCAGATGTAGTTTTATAGGGGACATTAGCTCGTGTTGTCTGTCTTCCCACTGTCCTTGGCTTTGCTTCATCAATATCTAATTCTCGAGCCAGTGCGAGAGACTCTTCATACCATGTATCGTGATACTTATCAATGGAATTCTAACATTAACAACAAAAGTTTTCAACGATGTAATAAGATGTAAACCATCCATAATGTCAATACTCTTCCCTTGAAGAAGCTGAGTAACACCAATTGTAGAATCAAACACATTTCTACAAATAACCAGGGCAACAACAAAATCAAACTTTTCCAAAAGATCAAGAAGTTCAGAGGCATCCGAAGAAACATTGAGACTGTGATCTTTATCTACATTTTTCTTCATTTCTCTCAACGTTTTAAAACAGGAATAAGAAGCTGCTGGAAAGTATCTAAGCCGTCGATTCTCTCAACCCACCTAGTTCGACACACATCTATTAATTTCTTTTTCCTACCGGCTGATAAAGAACCATGAAGGTCAATATTCTTTTCTAAAGGTATTTGTCGTAGGGGAAATATTAAAAAATCAGAAACTTTTTTAACTCTATTGAGCATCGATTTTACATCCATTATATTAATAGACTCACAAATCGCTAAATTTAATCTGTGGCTGTAGCAATGGGTAAAAAGAGCCTTATCATTCAAACGACGCAAATGAGCAGCCATCCCATTAATATGACCAGCAACAGCACCTGCCCCATCATATCCCTGTCCTCTACAATCAGCAATAGAAAGACCAAGGTTGCCTAAAGCATCAAGAACAACCTTAGCAAGCTGCTCACCTTTTAAGCCCCATTTACAAGGAAGAAATCCAACAAACTCCTCCCTAATATCCATATTTTGGTCGATAAAACGCAAAACAAGAGACATCTGTTCAGTATTTGAGATGTCTCGAGCCTCATCAGCAATTACAGAGTAGAACCTGCTTGCTTTTAAGTCAGAAATGATTTTATCTGTTATTACTTCACCACAGCATTTAATAAGCTTGTTCTGGGAAGTTTTAGAAATATACGTCTGATTCCTACCACATGAATTCAGATGGTCCTCTAACACCTTGTCCCCAGCACGCACTCTAAAATTAAGAAGTTCAACAAAATTCCCAACACCACCTGCAGAAAAATTACCAGTTTCAGGATGATAGTGCCCATCATCACGATGACCTCTAAAGGCTAAGCCCAAACGACCACATGTTAAGACCGTATCGGTAATTGAACTTAATTTAGCCCGGTTACCTTCAACTTCTTTCTTAACCTTAGAATCAATAATAACATTAATGCCTTTTGTTTTACCAGACATGTTAGATTTGAAGGCAGAATAAACTGGAAAAGTAGAAGCATGCAAACCATTCAAACCATGAAAACTCATTTTGCCAGTACTCTCTTTGCCATCATGACGTTTTAGCATTTTGGATGCATCTGTCCAACGACGAAGTGGCTGAGAGAATAGGTTGGAAATTTTTGAGGCCTTATCTTTAAAATTATCACCAAAAAGGACACATGGCAAACAAAACCCCATCCAAGGATGGAGAATAACATAACCATTCATACCTTTCTAACCAATCATAACGAAAAGATCTTCCATTCGTTTTGGGAATTCAAAATTTTCATCTGGTCTATAAACATTTACTATGAGATTGTAAATTTCCCATCGCTCATGCCTTTTCTTTTTCTCTGAAAGTTGCAACATCAAAATTAAGGGAATATGACAGTCAACAAGAGAAGAAGCCTCACTAAATGACACTATTTTATCAGAAGGGGGTTTTTTGTAGCAAGTTGCATCAAGAGAAGAAGACTTGTCAATAGATAAGGTGCTAAGGCTAGACTTATCAGTTTTAAAATTACTGTTAGAAGGTTTATCAATGCAAGACAGCTGGAAGAATCGCTTAATATCTTGGTGTTCTTGTAGAGAAGAGTTGTCAGGATGCTTGCGCTTTTGTTACACACTTTATGTTTTCATTTTTTGTTGAGCAAAGAAGAGGAACATAATGGTTTGGCAAAAAGCTCTCGCCAGACTTAACCTTGCCTTCATAGCAGAATAATATGTGAACAGCAACATCCTTCACAATTGCTTCATTTGCCAAGCGAGGGTTTACATGTCTATTAAAAAGTAATTTGGGTCTTATGTCCCCACAATCTGGATAATAAGTAAATATTTCATTACCAATAACTGATGATAAGCCCAGAATACACAAGAAAGGTGACCAGGTACCATCATAACAATTTAAAATAGCTTCTTGCTTAATTAAATCCTCATTCTTTAAGCCGGAATCTAAACATGAGGCCGATACTGATAATGGCAAAAGATTAACAAGACTAAGGTCATGGTGCTCAGTCACTGCCAAAGAAAATGCAGGATGTTTATTGTAAAAATCACAATGAAGGTATAGCTCAAGGGAAGTCAGTATTCTTAAAATATTTACTAAGCTGTTGTCTCCTACAAGCAGCAAAGATACTGAGCTGTAAAGACAATTCCCTGATGCTTGAGATCTACAAGGTTCAAAATAATCCCTCTTTAGTTTAAATTTCTTTTGTGTTGTACTAAACAGCGTAACTTTAAATATTAAACATCCAATAATGTTATATTACGTATTTAAAAACAGCTAAGCACATGTAACATTGCCATATAAAGTTATTCATTCAGATTCTTAATTTTCCTTACATAAATAGTATACCAGTATTTCAGTTAAATTTATAAGTTATTATTCGCTTATTTAATTATTCGAATAAAATACAAACTTCGATTGGTAAACGAAGGATTTCTGCACTGGCAAGTAATGCAAAATATAAGAATTACAAAACATCAGATATTGACAAGCTTATTAAAATTCAGATAAAGCATCGTAATCGGACAGAAGTAGAATAAAAGCTAAATTGAACAGCCATATAAACACATCGTTACCTGATTGCAGTGTAGATCTTTCCTGCGACTTCATACTGCTTGGAATATATGTCTCAGCGACAATATGCCGGTACAGTGAATTGCCCAGTTTTGATCGAAGCAAGTAAGATGAACATCTTGGCTTTGAATTCAACTGCCCGCGTAGCTCGTTGTACAGAAGCAACAGAGCTTCTTTGTTGTTGCTGTTCATTGCCTCTTGGGCTTCTAGAAAACAATCTCTATCCATTTTCAGAAGAAATTGCGTGCGGTAAATGTTAACGATACTAGTATCTCGAAAGTCGAAAGTCGAAAATAGTGAGGTACGCTTGCTGTACTTGAGGGAGTTGATAAAATGCACCAATAAAATGCACTGTTAGAATAAACATGGAACATCGTAACCAATCATAGACATTATTCCAAACAAAGTTCAAGGTCAAAACCAGCTTGTGCCTCAAAATATTCTCCTTATGCCTCAAAATTTTCCTTGGTACCTCAAAATTTCCTCAAGTCCCTCAGAAACCATGGTAACTGCAAGTTTTAGCCAATCAAAATGCTCATTCAAGCTTGGGTACCTCAGTAGCCGCTGACAAGTACCTCAAAAAAATCGCTTTGCTTCAAAAAGCAAACTATAAAAACTGGAATCAGATTTGAGTATTTTGCGATCAGATACTGAACGCTGATCGCAAATAGTAACTTAACTCAGTTAACTGGACTAAAACCTATGATCTCAATTATTACGTAATTCTTTGAAAATTTTATGTACCTCGCGTGAGGGTCTTGAGGTACCCTAGATCCGCCACTGAACACATTGGATAATTTATCTTTTCAAAATACTGACCTTTCTTGCATTATCATTAACAATTAATTTCAATAGTCTTTTCAAATATCATTTGTACGGCAAGGCTAAAAATTTAATAAGATAAATCAAAATTATGACACTTCACAGTTTTTCAGTTATGCATATCATTATGTGTAATAATTTTAATTTTATCTAACATGGCTTTTATCAAGAAGAATTTTCTCCTCATTCATAAAGTCATGTATCTATTTATCATATTCGTAACACAGATGATGACATAAAAACGCTTTGATAGGTATGTCTTTAGAAATTGCGGCTACTTGGAGTGAAAGTCTCACTTATTCACGTGATAGTACACGGGATTTTTCTGGTCTATATTTGTTCAACTTGTTGTACGATAGACTATTTAAAATATTTGTTTGCGTCAAAAGTTTACAAAATGACAAAACTTTGCATGATAATCTGTCAAGTCCAAACGCTATCAGTTTTGAAGAATCTCTGATTACTGAGATGTGACAAAATTAATCGTCTTACCTAGTATCAGTCGTCAAAAATAATTACTGGAAATGTTGTTGTTTATAATCTTACTTTTTTTGACCTATCTTATTGGTAAAAATTGTATTATATATTTTGCCTGGCTGCCTCAACTTTGCGTTTGTTAATAGTTTAGTTTTCAGAACATTTTAATAATTCAAATAAATATATGTGAACTGTGTATAAGGTTTATGAAATTTAACTGAAACATAATTTGTTGTAAAATTTATCCCTTTTTCGTGTATTCTCATCAGTCATAGCTAAAATATGAAATTTTTCTATCTCATTTTATCGTCTCGCTGTTATGAACAGAATTCAATATTTTACAATAAAAACAGCAGGTGATTAAAATCAAGCATTTATTGAACATTCCAATTAGTACACGTGATTTTTTTCTGGTCTATAATTGTTCAAATTGTTGTAAGATAGACTATTTAAATTATTTATTTGCGTCAAACATTTACAAAATGGCAAAACTTTGCATGATGAACTTACAAGTCCAAACGCTATCAATTTTGAAGTATCTCTGGTTACTGAGCTGTGACAAAAGGTTTATTTGTATAAAGCTTCCAAGTCAAAACTTCTTTGTTTTCACTTCAGTCATAGCTAAAATAAAAAATTTGCAATTCATATTTACTTGGGTATGAACAGAATTCAATATTTTACAATAAAAACAACAGGTGATTAAAATTGAGCATTGAATAAACATTCCAATTTCTTTATTATCAAGCAGAAGCAAAGACAACACGTAGTTGGTTGCGTCGTCTTTAATCTTTCTGAATTTGTAAAGGTATGTTGATTTTAATTTCTGCCTGCAATTGTTTGTTCTTATGTAATCTGTCACAAATTACTTATATAAATAATTTCAGTACTAAGCATGTGTTATACGGACAACACTTGTTGATTTTGATGAAATTTTTAAACAAACGGTAATTTATTTTGGACATTTTACCTTTGGAAAGTACTGACCTTTCTCACATGAACATAAACTATACATTCCAAAAGTTTATTTTAAATATTATTTCCATGGAGTAGCTTGAAAATGACAAGATGTGCCAAAATAATGACACGTCAAAAAATTTTAGACATGCATGTCATTATTTGCAATAATTTTACTTTTTCTAACACGGCTTTTATCAAAACTTGTACATTATTTTACTTTTTTCATTAATTTGTTACGTCTTATACAATTTACAAATCTTCTGTTAAACAAATTCTGAATCATCAACCAAAAACAGTCAACAAGATCTTAAAGATCTTAGGTCAATTTAGATGGTATGTCAACGTACAACCATTAATATTATGGTGAATATAGGACCAGACTATTTACATCGAAAGAGAGTATGAAGTTTATTATCTAGATCTTTATATTTCGCAAATTTCGCATTAGATAACTATGGAACAATTAGTTGCTACAGATTTGCTTCATCAAAATTTTTGTATTCTTCTGTGTCTTTGTTAAAAGGCATTTTTGATATGAATAACATTTGTCGATTTTTATGGGGTTTTTTAAACAATCACAAAAAATTTTAGATAATTTAACGTTGCAAAACACTGAATTTTACAGCATCATCGCTACTAAGACGATGTAATTAATCAAATATTCCGATAGTTCATTTCAAATATTATTCATACAACACGTCTGAAAAGTCACCAGGATGTGTCAAAATAATGACACGTCACAGAAGTTCAGTTATGCATATTATAAATGAGGAATGATTTTAATTTTTCTAACATGACTATCTTCAAGAAGAACAACATTTTTTACTTCTTATTTTCCTGACACAAAATTGATGATTTTTACGCCAAATTGGTCGTTATCATTCTTAGTGTCATGTGTTTCTAGTTCTGTTTGTTTTGTGTGTGCATTGACACCCATGATTCATACATTATGGAAAGTCAGAAAAAATGTAAACTTTGGTAAAATTTGTTTGGGAAAAATTCTAATGGGTTGTCATTTAACACTACGTCACTAATGGTAAACAAGATATCTTTGTCCACCAAAGCAACAAAATAAGTGTTCACTCGATGCATGATAAGCAATATCTGTCATACTATGATCATTATATTATTCTTAAAATAAAGCTTGGAGGTGTCTTGTAAGATAGTAAATTTGAGCTTTGGTTTGCTTTTACAATTTCCATCACCAAAAGAGTATGTGACTGGTTGCTTTCTTTTAAAAACTTGTAAATAGATTGAAATGTACTTTGTTTGCAATGGTTCAACATCTGAGAGTTATTTCTCGATTGCTAAGTTTAATGTGTGCACGGGAGTGTACATAGATTTCAGGTTATCTAAGGCCCTTTACTTAAGTATGTAGATTGCAGGTGAGCTATTGTCCTTTACTTAAGCTTTTTCTTTCATGCTCCATCTCTTCCATATAACCTAATTCAGTAGACGTCTTTTTAGCTTTTCATTAATAGCCTATGCAAACGACCCCATGGAGTTAAGCTCAAATGCCCGACGGTCACTCAAACTTCTTGTGGTCCTTTTCCTCCTCTTCAATAAGCCTATGTCACACTCAGTATAATTGTAAGAAACAGACACATGGTACTGTTTTGTTGGTGTAAATGTGTTGAGTTCGAGTTACTCGCCATATCTCTTTTCGTAATATACTCTATACCTTCAGTAACAACCACGTGTGAACTTAATGATCGAGCTGATTTTTATTAGTTTACAGAGCAGTATTCATAATCTTTATTACAAATAATAAATATTATTGTTGGTCGGAATAGTTCCTCTATTTAAGCTATATATGGTACATAAGGAAATTTAACTAACGTCAATTAATGTTCCTTGGCTGTTAGCCGTGTGGGAACGGATACATTGGTAAACCAAACTGCACACATACTATTTCCTTAACATGTTTCTGTGGTTTATGAGCATGACTCAACATCCCCATTTGCTCATTAATTAAATGAACAAATTAATACCTATTTACCAGTTATAAATGTTTTGAATCTACTTAGTTTAATCTTACTTACAGCTTTCGTAAATATATCAGCCACATTTTCATGTGTTGCTACATACATAATTTCTTTTTTACCAGCCCTTATTTCAATTGTGATAAAGTGATATCTAATATCTATGTGTTTAGTTAGACTTTTTGTGGTACATAGGGCTCTTTGCTAAGTTAATTGCGCCCTGATTGTCAACATTCAACAAAACACACTCGCCTTCCTTACAAATACGCAAATCATCACACAACTGTTTCAAAAATTTTGCTTCCTGAATAGCTTCAGTTAATGCCATATACTCAGCTTCACAAGTTGACAAAGCAACTGTAGATTGCTTCTTACTCCTCGAAGAAACCAAACCACCGTTCTCACTCAACCTGAAACCGTAACCTGAAATGCTACGCCTGTTATCTGCATAACCAGCCCAATCAGAATTGGAAAAACCAACCAATTTTAAAACACTTTCACAGTTTCTAATTGTAATTGTCTGATCTATTGTATCCTTTAAGTATCTAAGAACATGCTTGGCCTCTATTCGGTTTGCTTGTGTCGGTTTTGCCATCTTTTGAGACAGCTTTGTTACAATAAATCACAGATCAGGTCTAGTTCCTGTCATAACATATATAAGACTACCGACAATTTGTCTGTAAAGACTCGGATCTTCTAACTGAAATGATTGATCATACGACATTTTATTTGTATCGAAAGATGATAGAGTGGGTTTTGGTTTACACTTCGACATGCCAAATTTTG